TCAGTGACACCAGCACGATGCCCGCCCCTGGGGGACCGCAGAAGCCCCTTGCCCAGGGGGCACTCAGACTGCAGAGCAGGGGGTCTGTCTGCGGCCTTACAGCCCCTGACCTGTCTCAGAGAGACGGGCAGTGAAGGGGGACACTCCCAGACCCAGCTCTGCCCCTGAGGGCCCAGAGCAGAGGCAAACTGACCACACAGGCTGCCCATTGAGCAGGGTCCACTGAGCTGACCCACACAGGCTGCCTACTGAGTGGCCATGCAGGGGTGCTAGAGGTCATTCTTCTGCCCCTAGCCAAAGCTCCTCTGGGCACAAGGCAGCAGTGGGGACGAGGCACCCAGACCTGGGTTCCAGGGATTGACGGCCGGGCGGGCCCTGGGGCGGCCGCAGGGCTGTGAGGCTGGAGGATGTGGCCGGCCGTGGCCTCATCACACACGTGTCCTTCATCTGGGACACCCCAGGCATGTGCTGGGGACAGTGACGCTGGATGCACCCAGACAGCCAGGCTGGGCAACAGAAAGTATCAGGAAGGCCAGGGTTGCTGCCCACGAACATCCAGGTTCCAGAAGGTTCTCAGCTCCCAGGGATGGAGCCAAGCTGGGAAGGGAAGAGGCGATGGCACGGCCCCACCACTCCCTCACAGTGGACAGGACCAGCAGCCACCAGCCCTGAGGCTTCCCAGGGGCTCTGCACAGATGCGGGGTCAGCGGGCAGGGAGGGCTCTGGGGTAGAAGGACAGGGGTCCAGGCCAGGAAGAACTGGGGTCAGAGAGAGGAAAGCAGGGAGGGCACTTTCCTTGCACACTGTCAGCCTGGGCTCAATCCCCGGCACCACATATGGTCCCGAGCACAGAGCCAGGAGTCAGCCCTGAGCACAGAGCCAGGAGTCAGCCCTGCGCACAGAGCCAGGAGTCAGCCCTGAGCACAAAGCCCGGAGTGAGTCCCAAGCATAGAGCCGGAAGTCAGCCCTGAGCACAGAAGCAGGAGTGACCCTGAGCACAAAGCCAGGAGTCATCCCTGAGCACAGAGCCGGGAGTGACCCTGAGCACAGAGCCAGGAGTCAACCCCGAGCACAGAGCCAGGAGTGACCCTGAGCACAGAGCCAGTTATGACCCTGAGCACAGAGCAAGGAGTGACCCTGAGCACAGAACCAAGAGTCAGCCCTGAGCACTGCTGGGTGTGAACCCTTTCGTGACTCCAGTTCTCGGGGCTGCCCACATGTCCAGCAGGAGTCCAGCTGCTCTTCGGGCAGCCCTGAGCCACTGCCCAGCCACTGTGCTGGGAAGGGAGACAACACTGCAAAAGTTTTTTATAAAACCCCCAAGTGTGAAATCGGCCCCCTAGTGTCCCCGGGCCCAGAGTGGGGAGGGGGCGCGAGGCTGCGGGGCCGGGAACCACAGCACAGGGGAGGCTGGTCTGGGGAGAGGCTGCACAGCGGGGAGGCTGTTTTAAACATTTGTTTAAGGGGGACGGTGTTGGCCCCTCCCCGATGCTCGGGGCTCATTCCTCCAGCCCCCACAAATTCACTTGGCTTTGGGGGGCCACACCCAGCAGTTCTCGGGCCCCTGGCAGGTGTGGAGAAGGGGCAGTGTCCAGCGGCTTTGTGGGAAGGGGCATCTCCCCAGCAATACTCAGCCGGTTGTGGGCTGGTCTGGGGTTCGACACCAGGGGCCCACAGTGCCAAGCATCTCCAGCCAGTCCAGCCTGGCCAAGCAGACGCCCCTGCCCAGCCCCACAGCCTGGCCCAGTCACTGACCATGTCTCCTGGACCCAGGGCACACAGGTGCCGACACAGCAGAGCCACACCCCTGCCACCTGTGGTCAATGCCTGCTGGCCTCTCTCTGGGGAAGGCTGACCATGGCCCGGGGCTCAGGATCTGGACCCTCCCGCCCCCAAAGACCCTGAGCTCACGGCCTCTGTGCCTGGGGGCCACTCTGCGGCCAGGGGAGAGGGGTCCCCTCTGCAGGACACGCCCAGTCCAGGCGGGCTGGCCACTGCGGGACTGACCCCCTCCCGGAAACCCTCCCGGTCACAGCCCTGCGCCTCGGGCTAGGCTATCTCTGAATTAGACCAACTTGTCTCAAGGAAACGCTGCCGGTCGGACATCACCTCCCACAGGCCGGGAGGAGCCGCCCCGACCTCTCTCCCTCCAAGGCCTGGAGCAAACAAGGGCAGCGGCCACATCTGCGTTGCGGCGAGAGGTGGGGACCAAGGAGCCGGAAGCAAAGTGCCACTGACATCTCAGCCGGTCACCACCCCCACGTGGGCCCCAGGGACAGCTGGCCACTCTCCCGCTGACCTGGCCACTCTCCTCTGACCCGGCCACTCTCCTGCTGACCCACCGCACCAGCCGCATTTCCAGGTCAGTCCTAATCACTCTCCCACACTCCCAAGTCATCTTTCTCACTGATGAAACCATTAATTAAGAAACCGAATCCCGGGGCTGGAGCGATAGCACAGCGGGTAGGGCGTCTGCCTTGCACGCGGCCGACCCGGGTTCAATTCCCAGCATCCCATATGGTCCCCCGAGCACTGCCAGGAGTGATTCCTGAGTGGAGAGCCAGGAGGAACCCCTGTGCATCGCTGGGTGTGACCCAAAAAGCAGAAAAAAAAGAAAGAAAAAAGAAACCGAATCCCTCTTGTATGGCTTGTATGGGGCTTGCAGATTCCAGTGAGGAGCAGCTGAGACCCAAGCGGACAGAACGGGACTGAACCTCAGCTGGGGGGCACACTGGTGACAGAGGGGGTGGAGAGGGAATGACATTCGCGAGAAACCATTACGAATTGTAAGGCAAAAACGTTTTAAAGAATAAAAAGTACATATTTTGAAACAAAAATAATTTGGGAATTATCACAAACAACACTGTATGGAAATATTTTAAAAATTAAAAATAGAAAAAGCCTGGAAAGCTGCCCGTGGCGTATTCGATATGCCAAAAACAGTGACAACGAGTCTCACGATGGAGACGTTACTGGTGCCTGCTCGAGCAAATTGACGAATAACGGGACTACGGTGCTAAAATAGAAAGTACCTTGGGGGGCAGGTAACAGGGTAAGGGCCCTGGCCCCTTCCTGGAGACGTCCAGAGGGCCGAGACGTGCCTGGCAGACGCAGGAAGCTAGCCTGGGACCCCAGAACACCACCAGGAGCCAGCCCTGAACCCGGGGCCAGGGACAGCCTGTGTGCCACCAGCCATGGTCCAACAAATACCGTGCGCACAGCGTTAGGCCTCCAGCAAGCCCGGCCAGCCCCCACAGCCACAGAGTGAGGGACAGGGAAAGGAGAAAGGCCGGGAGCACTTCCCAGATGAGCCCTCCGCCCGGCCAGCGCTGCGCCCCCAGAAGGCCCATGGGGCCGGGAGTGGCCTGCAGTTGTCACTCCAACAGGGGCCGGGGCCCACCAGGCAGGCCTGCTCCGGGGCCCTGACAACATGTCTCGGCCAGGACGCCCACCCAGATCAGCTCCCAGCCTGGGAAACCCCCGCTGGGCCCTCGGGGTGGCAGGGGCTTGATGATGCCGAACCCGTGTCCAGAGGGCAGGACAGACGTCCAGGCCGCGGGCACCTCTCTTGGAACCGCAGCCTGGAGGTGCAGGAGTCAGGCCAGCTGGGACGCCCCAGAGGCCCTGCCCAGCAGGACGCTGAAGCCCCTCCACACCCCTGCACGTCACTGCAGCCGCCCCGCCACCCCTCACAGCTCCGGAGTCAGGCGGTGCCTGAGCAGGGTCAGGGTCCGCCACCCCAGTCACTGACCAACTGGGTCCCAGCTCGGCAAGGCCCAGGGGGGCACGTCCAGCACCTGTGAAAGCCACGGCACATTCACGCGCCCGCCAGCGCCCCCTCCCAGCCCCGGTCTCGGCCAGGACAGCTGTCCCTGGAAGTGATGTGCTCTGCTGCCCCCGTGTGGCAGAAACGCTGCATGATGGGCCGCGCACGGGATCGGGCACCTTGGAGACCCCCCCCTGACCATCCACCCTGGCACCCGGGGCCTCCAGGTGCGCCCAGCTGGGCCTCCTCAGAGCCGGTGGCAGGGGTGATACTGCCCGGGTAAGCCAGCACGAAACCAGGAGGGTCCCTGGGCACCAGCCCCGACTGAGAACTGGACCACCCCCCACAAGCATGAGAGGACCGAGGTACAGGACCGCCCTCCGAGACCAAGCGCAGGGCAGCCGCCAGAAACAGGGGGATTCAGGCAGACCCCGCAGACCCACCTCCCAGCTTTGGGTGCTGAGGAAAGTCATTCTTCCGTAACTACAAACACGCTGGGAAGAAGGTGCCGGGCCTGAGAGGCAGCACCAGCTAAGGCTTGACAGGTCGGCCCAGAGACCGCCCCGAGCAGAGCCAGACCTGAGCCCCGAGCCCGGTGTGACCCAAACACAGAGCCCATGTGAGGCAGACAGCATGAGGGGCCCGGTGGAGCCCATGGTCGGGGGCAGCCTCAGTTTCTACACCCCGATAAGGACCCTCCCCACCCTGCACAGCACAGGGGATAGACCCTCTCTGACTTTCCCCTGAACAGTGCAGGGGGCAAACCCTCCCCAACCCTCCCCTGCAGAGTGTAGGGGGCAGACCTTCCCCTCCTCTGCCCTGCACCCACAAAGGGTTCAAAGCCTCATCAGGGGGCGTTCATGCAGGGCCACAGGTCAGACACACCCACTGGGCCCAGAAAGGCTGGGCCTGACCGTGGCCTGCCTACCTGTGCTCTGACCAACTGCAGAAGGAAGAGATTGCAGGGGATGGGGCAGGGCCAGGGCAGGGCCGGGGCAGGGCCAGTACGGGGACAGGGACAGGGCAGGGTCAGGACAGGGCCAGCACAGGGGACAGGGACAGGGCAGGACAGAGCAGGGTAGGGCAGGGCGGGGTGGGGCAGGATCGGACAGGCCCACTCAGGTGTATGCTGGCCAGGGTGTGTCTAGGGGCTCCATGGCCAATGACGCATGAACTGGCTCTGCCTGCCAGAGCGGGTGACCCATCCGTCCCCAGGGCCGCGCGCCCGGCTCACCGTGGAAGGCGCAGTTGTCCACCAGGAAGTGCCTCCGGTACCGCGCCCCGCTCCGCTGTCCTGAGCTCATGGCACCCTGCAGAGAGAGGGAGGAGTGAGTGTGGCGGGCAGCGCTGGACTCTTCCGTCCAGAGACGGGGCCGGATGTCCACCACCTGCCCCCGGGAGGCTGCAGCCAGTAGCTGTTCTGGGGCTCCTGCAGGCCGGGCCCAGGAGGGACACCTCAGGGTGGGCTGTGTCCAGCAGGCCGGCCCCGCGCCCTGCCCAGCTGCCGAGCCCATACGGAAGCCCCCAGAGCAGGTCCCAGCGTGGCCCAAGCCATCCACTGCAGAGGTTGGGAGCAGAGACAGCAGACTGGGGGGCGCTGGCGGGAGGCGGGAGGGAGGCAGGAGGCCGAGGGTGGCCAGGGACCCCTGAGCCCGCAGGTTTCCCGACACAGCGCCCTGCCAACACCCCATCCAGAGCCTCGCAGCCAGATGGAGGAATCAAAGGGATTTGGTTCATTTCTCGCGGCTCCCAGGAGAAAAACGCTCAGCCCGGTTCCTGCGCTGGGGTTAGAGCCAGGCCGGGGCTGAACCCAACAGCATCCCCTTGGTGAAGGTCCCTGGTGTCCTTCCAGGGCGGGAGCCAAGAGCGGGGGCCCACCCCAGCCTGACGCTGCCTTTGCAAGGAGACACCGGCCCGGGGCTGATTCCGTGAAGCTCCTCCCGGCAAGCACCAGAGGAAAGTCACGGAGCCAGCTCACACAGGACGCGCTGGGTCTTCAGGGAGCCCAAACCTCGGGCATCAAGCACCCAGCTGCAGGCAGCATCAATGTGGAGCTGGCGAAGGGTACCAGGGGGGCACGCGCTGGCAGGACCAGCTGGCATCACCCCGAAAAGCCAGGCTCCGGCCCGAGGGACAAAGGCCTTCCGTGACTCCCACGGCACTGGGAAAGCCCTTCACGGCTGCGAGACAAGCTGTGAGTCAAGGCCCAGCCTTGCACACGGCTGACCCTGTCTCCATCCCAGCAGCCCAAAAGGTTCCCCTGAGCCCCGCCAGGGATGACCCCATGCCTGAGCCAGGAACGAGCCCTGAGCACTCCTGGGTGTAACCCCCACAAAAAAAATTTAAACAAAAAAATAAAAATCAGCCTTACTCCTGTGTTCATTGCAGCACGACTGATAACAGCAAAATCTAGAAACCCAAGTGCCCGTGGACGGGTGAGTGGACAGAGAGACCGCAGCGCGTGCACTGTGAACGCACTCGCCAAGAGAAACCCGCGATTCGCTCCAGACCTGGAAAGTCTCGTGCGGGGTGAAGCCAGCCAGACGGAGGGGGCAGCGGACGCAGGAGGACAAATAGCGCCCAAAGGCCACAGAGAGAAGAGCAAGAGAATGGGTCCTCCAAGACGCGGGCCACCGGCCCACTCTGAGAACGGCCGGGCCAGAGGTCATCCTGGAGGACCGGTGCTGACCAGAGGGGACTGGCGTCCATGCCACCCACACAGCAGCAGCGAAGTCGGCCACCGCTGCACTCAAGGGAACGGTCAGAGGGAGAGAGAAGCAAAGAGAGTGGCCACAGGCAGGGGGGGCAGGAGGGAAGCCGGGACGAGGGGTCTGGGCCTGACCTCAGCCATGAAGGACCTTAACTGTGATTCATGGTGATCTGATTCTTTCATGAAGATTGAAAATTCAAGTTTAAGGACTTTTTTATTAGGCCTTGTTGGACTGGAGGCAGGGTCCAGCAGGCCTCGGGTTAGACACAGGGTCCCCGGGGGCCCGGCCACGCAGGGTTCCCCGAGCAGAGTTGGGAGGGAAGCCCTGAGCTGTTCCGGTCAGGCCCTGAGGTTCTGGTCAGGCCCCGCGGTTCCGATCAGCTCCGAATGTGAACGTATGGGCTGGGGTTTCCCGACTGACTCTGTGTGGGGCCCTCCCCCATCCCGGCCTCTCAGGCCCCTTGGGTCAGTGGCTGCAGCTGTGCTGGACACGAGCGGGGCCTGAGAGCGGGAAAGGACGGCAGGCCCCAGCGGTCACCCTCCAGAAGCACGAGGCCCCCTGCACCCTTGGACACGGCCCCCAAACACCGAGTCCAGAGTAAACCGGAGCCCAGAGCTCAGCGTGGCACGCTTGCCGTATCTCGGGTCCCAGCCTTGGCATCACGCGTGGCATGGCCGGGTCTGCGTCACGGAGGTGGGATGAGGGAGTTTGCCGGGAAACGTCCTCCCCTTCCAGCACAGACCGGAGAGCGTCCAAGGGGGCTGGGGCGGTCGCCTGCAGCCCAGCCTGGCCCATTCCTGCACCGCTGAGGGGGGTGGGGGGGTCCCAAGACCAAGACGGGGCGGAGGAGGGCGAGGGCTTGGGGCGCAGAGCTGACTTCTGGCTCAGTACTCAGGACTCACTCAGGATGCGGCAAACACCCCCCTCCCCCCCCCCCCCCGTCCTGCTTCTGAAGCCCCCGTGCATGCACCGTGAAAACGCCGTCCAAGTTCCCCTGGCCCGACCAGCATGTGGGCAGAGAGGCGGTCCACAGCAGCCCACGGGGAGGGGAGGTGGCCCACGGCAGCCCACGGGGGAGGGGAGGGGACCCACTGCGGCCCAGAGGTCAGAGCCGAGCAGCTGTCCCCGCCTCCTCTGTTGGGGACGCTGTTCTGCATGGCTGGGTCTGCAGCCCACGGAGGCGTCGCCCTGCCTGGAGACAAAGGGAGTCGCCCAGCGCCACCGCGAGCTCCCGGCAGGCACTGGGCCAGAGAACGCCCGAGGCAGAGGCCAGAGAGGCCCCCGGAAGGCCAAGTGTGTGCCCGTCCCCTGCGCCTGAGCCCTGCAGCCCTGCCCTCTGGGGAGCGATAGTCAGGCCACCGGACAAAGGGCTTCTGAGCCCCCACCTGACCCAGGAACCCCCTCCCACAGAGCGAGGCAAGGAGACCACAGCCCCATCCCAGCTTCAGAGGAGCCCTGAGAGCACCCACCACTCGGCTCACAGTCCCCTGCCCTGCTGAGGGGCCCCCAGCTTTCCTGAGGGACCCCACTCTCCTGAGGGACCCCACTCTCCTGAGGGACCCCCCTCTCTCCTAAGGGCCCCCCATTCTCTTGAGGGGCCCCTGTGTGCTTTACAAAGATGCAGGCGACTGTTCTCAGAACTAGCAACTCTGACTTAGCTATGAGGCAGAATTCGGGTTAGTTTGGGTTGGGTTGGGTTTGGTCTGGGAGCCACACCTGGCACTGCTCAGGGCTGACTCCTGGCTGTGTACTCAGGGATCACTCCTGGTGGGGTTTGGGGATCCCATGTTGTGCTGGGGTGAAACCAGTGTCCCACATACAAGGGACATGCTTATCCACTGTGCTATCATCTCTCCAGGCCCCGGGATCCGCATTCAATAAATGTAATATTATACACTGTGTTATATATCACATGCATGATATGTATGTATTATAATTTGTACAATGTAATATATATTATAAATATTAGATATTATTAACGCAGTAGTCTATGCTGCATTAGACCAATTAAACATTTGATTTTCTTTCATTTCTCTATAAAATTGTCCCAGAAATCTCTGCTGATCAGGCCTGAGAAATAGCACAGCGGGGAGGGCACAAGCTGACTCTGGCTCCATCCCGTCTGGATGGTCCCTGAGCACAGTCAGGAGCGAGTCCTGAGCACCCCAGGTGCAGCAAAGCAGTAGGAAGTTTTGCTGACTGGGCGGGAAGGACCACATCTAGGGGTGTCCCTGTCCGTCAGCGTGGCTCCTCCTAGGGTCACCAGAGGCAGCCTCAGCGGCTGCAGCTTGGGCCGAATGGGAAAACGATCAGAGAGAGCTGGGCTGCGGGGTGGGCCAAGGAGGGCCGAGGAGGGCCCGGAGCAGTAAACCCAGGCCTTTCCCTACCCCCCACCAGCACAGGCAGGAGTTCTCCTGTGGAGTTGTGGGCAGAGGGCCTGGAGAGCCTGAGCCACGGGCTGACCACCTGCGAGCGGACAGTGGGACGACCCCCCAACGCCAGGTCCCCACAACCCACCCCAGCCAATGCAGCTTTTTCAGAATACACTACTGGAGCTTAATTGGGTCTTCGTGGAGGGTGGACACTGGTCTTATTCCGGGGTGCTGGGTGGTCAGCAGGGGTGACCCCCACTGACTGGCCAAGGGGCCATCAGGGAGGCTGCTGACCACGAGCTCGGCCTGCTGTAACGAGCAAGCAATGACCATCACCCCGGAGAAGGCCTGGCCTGCGCAGCCCCGCGCCCATCCCCGCGTCCAGCGCAGCTGTTCCGCGTGTGCCCAAGTCCGCGTCGAGGTGGGTCTGCGCGCTCCGGGCTGCCCTTGGCGGGCGCCGGCCCCAGGCCTTCAAAGGGCCCCGCGGAGAGGCTGGACTCCGAGAAATGGACCGTGTCCAGCCGAGCCCGAAGCCTGCTGGGCGGCCAGGACGCGCTCCCGCAGCGGGCTGACCTCAGGCCTGACCCAAAGCGCGGACAAGTGGAAAAGCAGAGCCCGGACCTCGGGGGCTCCTGGCGAGCGCGGGGCGCGGGGGAGGCGGGGGTGGCGCGGGGGCTTCGTGGGCTCCGGGGGCTCCGGGGGTCGCGCGGGGCTGTAAGGGGGGCGCAGGGGGCCGCGGGACCGTCTGCCCGGGCGGGGTCCCTGTCTCGGCCGCAGCCCCTCCCTGCGCTCAGCCAAGCGCGGGGGTCTCTCCAGCTCTCCGCCCGGCCCGGCCCCCAATGACCCGGCGTCCACCTGAGCCCCGAATGGCTCCGGTTACACACGACAAAGGACCGTCCGCGCCGGCCACCGGGTCCCGCTGCGCGCGGCGTCGGGCGGGCGGCGGCGTCGTCATGGGAACCGCGCAGGCGCACGGTGCGCCCGGGACCCTGGACCCCCGGGGACCCCCGGGACCGCGCGCCCGAGGACCTCCGGGACCCCTGGGACCCCGCGCCTTCCGGACCCCCGAACCCTGCGCCCAAGGACCCCCAGGACCCCGGATCCCCGCGCCTCTCGCTACCCCTGGACCCCGCGCCCGCGGACCCCCGGAACCCCGCGCCCGAGGAACCCCCGAACCCCGCGTCCAAGGACCCCCGGACCCCCGAATCCCCGCACCCCTCGCGCCCCC